GTAAATGCACGATTATAGAGTTCTGAGAAGTCGTCCATCCTGACATTGCTCAAGACAACTACTAATACAACTTTATATACAATATAATACTTCAAAAAATATATTTTTTAAAAAAATAAAATTTTTAAAATAAATTTTTAAAATTTAAATAACACATCATCTTGAATTCTATTCACCTAAGATGACACAATTACTAAGAGTCATTATCTCTGATTTTGCAAAATTCATAATAAAGTCTAGCTTCTTTAAAAGTTTGATAAGTGTGTGTCTGTGAATATAATATGTAGTGTGAAATAACATCACTTTAAAATAAATACAAACAATATGAAGATAAATAGATAAGACAGAACATATTAGTGTGTGTCTTTAAAATACTCAAATCTTTAAAAAAAAAATCACTCATATTCTAATGAATCATGCAAATTGAATAATAAATAATAATTAAATAAAAAATAAATTTGAGTTATATATATATTAAAAAATGTATTCAAAATATGATGAAACTCACATTTAATCAAGTTTTTATTCTAAGAAACAAAATAATAATAATACACAATATAGAGAATATAGAGATATGTTTGTTAGAAAAATGAGAATTGTTATTCAAACAAGTTTTATCTTAATATTTACATATACGAGAATCAAAAATAAGAAGAAATCTAAGATTATTTGATGCAAAAATAAATAAATACTATTGTTATATTTATCATCTTCCTTAAGTTTCTCTTTGTGCAAAGTATAACAATGACATGATCAAATTAAAGATATGACATAAATCACCTTTATGCTGAAAGAGTGTCCTTTTTTTATGGTGTTTTTCATCATAATATATAGTACCAATTTCTATAATAAGTTTAGTTACTATAATTTTACTACTTGTAAGAGTTATAAATAGTCATTTTCTCTAGAACATAACAAGCAGTCACTTTTATGAAATCTAGTAAGTGTTGAATAAATTAAAAATGATAAATAAATATATTTGCTCAAAAATTGGGTAACATTAGTTAAAGGTTTTGGCTTTATTTTTTAAACATTTCAATGTAAGAAATTAAAATTAAAAACTCTTGTAAATGCACGATTATAGAGTTCTGAGAAGTCGTCCATCCTGGCATTGCTCAAGACGACTACTAATACAACTTTATATACAATATAATACTTCAAAAAAAATATTTTTTAAAAAAATAAAATTTTTAAAATAAATTTTTAAAATTTAAATAACACATCATCTTGAATTCTATTCACCTAAGATGACACAATTACTAAGAGTCATTATCTCTGATTTTGCAAAATTCATAGTAAAGTCTAGCTTCTTTAAAAGTTTGATAAGTGTGTGTCTGTGAATATAATATGTAGTGTGAAATAACATCACTTTAAAATATATACAAACAATATGAAGATAAATAGATAAGACAGAACATATTAGTGTGTGTCTTTAAAATACTCAAATCTTTAAAAAAAAATCACTCATATTCTAATGAATCATGCAAATTGAATAATAAATAATAATTAAATAAAAAATAAATTTGAGTTATATATATTAAAAAATTTATTCAAAATATGATGAAACTCACATATAATCAAGTTTATATTCTAAGAAACAAAATAATAATAATACACAATATAGAGAATATAGAGATATGTTTGTTAGAAAAATGAGAATTGTTATTCAAACAAGTTTTATCTTAATATTTACATATACGAGAAGCAAAAATAAGAAGAAATCTAAGATTATTTGATGCAAAAAGAAATAAATACTATTGTTATATTTATCATCTTCCTTAAGTTTCTCTTTGTGCAAAGTATAACAATGACATGATCAAATTAAAGATATGACATAAATCACCTTTATGTTGAAAGAGTGTCCTTTTTTTAGGGTGTTTTTCATCATAATATATAGTACCAATTTCTATAATAAGTTTAGTTACTATAATTTTACTACTTGTAAGAGTTATAAGTAGTCATTTTCTCTAGAACATAACAAGCAGTCACTTTTATGACATCTAGTAAGTGTTGAATAAATTAAAATTGATAAATAAATATATTTGCTCAAAAACTGGGTAACATTAGTTAAAGGTTTTGGCTTTCTTTTTTAAACATTTCAATGTAAGAAATTAAAATTAAAAACTCGTGTAAATGCACGATTATAGAGTTCTGAGAAGTCGTCCATCCTGACATTGCTCAAGACCACTACTAATAAACTTTATATACAATATAATTCTTCAAAAAAAATATTTTTTAAAAAAATAAGATTTTTAAAATAAATTTTTAAAATTTAAATAACACATCATCTTGAATTCTATTCACCTAAGATGACACAATTACTAAGAGTCATTATCTCTGATTTTGCAAAATTCATAGTAAAGTCTAGCTTCTTTAATAGTTTAATAAGTGTGTGTCTGTGAATATAATATGTACTGTGATATAACATCACTTTAAAATATATACAAACAATATGAAGATCAATAGAGAAGACAAAACATATTAGTGTGTGTCCTAAAAATTCTCAAATCTTTAAAAAAAAATCATTCATATTCTAAAGAATCATGCAAATTGAATAATAAATAATAATTAAATAAAAAATAAATTTGAGTTATATTTAATAAAAAATTTATTCAAAATATGATGAAACTCACATTTAATCATGTTTTTATTCTAAGAAACAAAATAATAATAATACACAATATAGATATATGTTTGTTAGAAAAATGAGAATTGTTATTCAAACAAGTTTTATCTTAATATTTACATATACGAGAAGCAAAGATAAAAAGAAATCTAAGATTATTTGATGCAAAAAGAAATAAATACTATTGTTATATTTATCATCTTCCTTAAGTTTCTCTTTGTGCAAAGTATAACAATGACATGATCAAATTAAAGATATGACATAAATCACCTTTATGCTGAAAGAGTGTCCTTTTTTATGGTATTTTTCATCATAATATATAGTACCAATTTCTATAATAAGTTTAGTTACTATAATTTTACTACTTGTAAGAGTTATAAGTAGTTAGTTTCTCTACAACATAACAAGCAGTCACTTTTATGAAATCTAGTAAGTGTTGAATAAATTAAAATTGATAAATAAATATATTTGCTCAAAAATTGGGTAACATTAGTTAAAGGTTTTGGCTTTATTTTTTAAACATTTCAATGTAAGAAATTAAAATTAAAAACTCGTGTAAATGCACGATTATAGAGTTCTGAGAAGTCGTCCATCCTGACATTGCTCAAGACAACTACTAATACAAGCTTATATACAATATAATACTTCAAAAAAAATATTTTTTTAAAAAATAAAATTTTTAAAATAAATTTTTAAAATTTAAATAACACATCATCTTGAATTCTATTCACCTAAGATGACACACACTACGCCAAAAATGATTTTTTGTATCACCTAATTTAATAGCACTTTTAAAAAAAATGCTATTAAAATGGAAAAAACACATTTATAATAGCACTTTTTAATCGGGCGCTATTATATAATACAGACTATGTAATTTTGATAGAACTTTGTACCAGAAAGCTATTATTAAACTTCTTTAAGATAGCATTTTGTATAAAACGCTATTATTTGACTACCTATATAATAGCATTTATTAAAAAGCGCTATGTTATATATAATAATGAATTAATTAATTAATTGATAAAAAAAAAACAAAACACATTTTCCCCCGCACCAAAACCCCAATATCTAAACCCAAACCCATTGAGAAGGAGTAGCACCGTGGCATCACCAACGATCACCAACTTCACTCACTCGCGATAATGGCAATGGACGATTCACATTCATCTCTGTTCAACCTAGGTATTCTCGACACTCTCACCCAATACGAACTTCACGAAATCCTCGACAGCTACGACGCCTTCTGCAACGCCACACAATCTCTTCTCGGCGGTGCCGGCGACCTCTCATACGGTGCTCAATTTGTTTCCCATGTTCACACCCTATGCAAACACGGCCTCGAATCACTAGTTCGCGACCACTTTCTCAGAGTATTAGAGGTGCCCAACAAAAATATTTCATTACTAGAATTACAAAGTTCCAATTTTTATTGAGTATAGATAGATCCCTTTGGTTTCATGAAACTTTTGAGCGAAATGGGGCGTCCAGGTTTTGGCGGCACTTTGTTCCGTATGCTGATTTTGTTGATTTGGACAAGCATGGTGATATCAATGTGAGAATTTGTGAACCTAACTTTTCATTGTTTTGGTTGTGGATTTGTACTTGTTACTGTACTTGATTATTTTTGTTTTTCCGATGAAATGAAATAGATTGATGAGGATGAGATTGAAAGTGTGTTGTATAATGCTTTGGAAGAAATCTCTTTGGAGAAACAGTATCAGGAGAAGTGTCTGTTAATATTGGTCCATGCTTTACAATCTTTCAAGGATCAAATGTCAGAGGAAAAGCATAGTTTTGAAGCAGAAAGAAATTACCTTACCTCTAAGTATCAATGGATCATCTCTTCCGTGCTTATGGCTACACTTCCGACGAGTCAAATATTCTCATCCACTCACAAATCCAAAAACAAAAACACTACCATTGATTCTCCCAAAAACATTATCTTCCTCTGCTTCCTTCTTAGCCATTGATTCTCCCAACTGATTCACCGTCGTCAAATCTTCCTCTGCTTCCTTCGGTTTTCATTGATTCACCGCCGTTAGTCATTGATTTACCACCGTCATCCCTTCCTTCGGTTTTCACCCGGATCCATTCTTCAGCCATCGGATTCACCATCGATTCAGATTCAGATTCACTTCTCAAACGACACTCAAACAGAAGGAGGAAACACCGAAAAGAAAGAACAACCAAATCTCATTCTCCGTCGAACTCAACCCTTTGTCATCTCACCTACGTCGTCGTCATCCCTCTCTTCATTTGTATCCGGTAATATTTCTTTTTTCAGTTTCTGCTATCCGTTGATTCTATGTGTTGTTTGTGAGCATTATGATGTCTTTGTGTTGACGGATATTCGTGATTTTGAGTAGCTGTAATGAGGGTTTGTGAGGTTAAGTTGCAGTTGTGAGGGTTCGTGAAATTTGAGTGATAAGGCTTGTGTTATTGATGTGTGCCTGAATGGTGAGAGATGAGCTGGTTATTGATGTGAGCAGTTGTGAGTAGTGGCATGAAGTGTAAGGTATTTGGCCATTGAATTAGTTTTAACTAAGGTCTATGTGTTGAAGTTGTGTGCAATTTTCAATTTCTAGTCCTAGTTAACCGTAAATATCAACGTTGAGAGAGATTACACGGTGGAAAGAGTTGTATTTTAGACCAGCCCATGAGTATGGTTTTGAATGAGAAGGAACTCATGTTGAGTTTATGAGAGGCGGAAGTGATATCTAGTGGGAATTGAATGATATAAGTGCTATGCCATCTGAGTTGAGTGCAGAAGAAAGAATGTAGACATGGAAGAAGGAAGAGAAGAGAGGAATGAAGTTTTATGGAGAGCAAAAAAGTCAGTACATTGGTTGAAGATGAGTTGAAAAGTTTGTTCTAGTTTGAGTGATAAGGCTTCTGTTGTTTTGGTGTGATTTAGTCACAATTAATCGATTCTTCTTTTCAATCCAAGCAAAAATTGGCATTTCGTTAATGTTGGATGTTTTTTTGATTTCAGGAAAAACTTGATCAGTGGCTCTGTAGACAGCAAGAGGGTGGATCAAGACTTGCAAACTTTGATATAATTAACTACATTCAGGTTGGTTTCATCAATGTTCTATGTTTTTCATACAATGTTGAGGTTTTATTATTGTTCTATGTTTTATCATTGTCTTTTGACATTTATTCCTAAAGTTAAAGAACATAGCTGACATAATAAGAAGTATAACACATGCAGGTAATATATGCTAAAATGGAAATAGAGTTGTTGTATAATGACTTGGTTGAAAAGAGAAGAGCCAGACATTCAGATATTGAATCCAGTTCATCTTCAAAGACTACCGGTGGTTTGGGAATGTATTGGTGGAGAGGTGGTAGGCTTTCTCGAAAGTTGTTTAATTGCAAGGTCCTTCCTCGTTCCTTTGTTACCAAGGCTGCTAGACAAGGTTTGTAAATTGTTCTCTTTAGTATATCACTGGTGGTGGTTGTGTTATCCATCTTAATAATCATTTTGAATTTATTTGGAAGTATGATTTTCTGCAGCTGGGTTTAGAAAGATACCAGGTATTTTATATCCTGAAAATTCAGACTTTGCTAAGAGAAGCAGATGTGTTGCCTGGCGAGCTGCTGTTGAGATGTCAACAAGCGTTGATCAGCTGGCTTTACAGGTATGATTTTATTACTTGCTGATTGCTCTTGGCATATGACTTTACCTGTGCTCCTGGTGTTATTGATGCTCTCTCATATGCAGTTTTTTATTGTTGTAGTTTGATTATTGGAGACACTGCATATTTTTGTACTTCAAACATGAAAGCTGAAAAGTTCAAAACTTTTCAATTAAAATTGGTTGTGTTAAAATCAGAATTTCAATGGCAATTGCAATGTAAATACATTAACTCTTCTAGGGGCAAATATTAACAGGCCTTTTCTGCTATATTTATTTATTTATTGGCAAATGCTATGTTAAGAAACCAAATCTAGAAATATAATCTTTGAAATTGTGTATTCAATATTGTGAGAGTTTAAGGATTTTTGTTCTAGACTCAAAACTTGTCTTTTAATTCCTTTTCGAGTTAATTAACAATTGCCCTTATGGCAGAAGTTAGCAAAACCCTTTTTATTTCAATCTTGCATTTTTTATTATGGCAACTGTTGTTTCCTATTGTATTTATGTACATAAATAAAGAGATGGGAATGCTGCCCCAAATGATGCTCACTATATTATTAGTTAATCAGTTGTCATATATATTTTTTGTTGCAAAATGTTGCAAGTTTCAATATAGTATTGCTTGTAATGTGTTTTTTCATTTTATTATTCATTGTTTTTAAGCAAAGGGATTTCCTATATATCTAAAGGAAGTCACAGTTCAAGTTCAACTATTATTATTGAGGAACGAGGATTGTTTAGATTTAAAAACTGGTTTTTCCAAAAGAAACCTCTTCCTTGTAGAGGATGATTGAGAAAATATCTTGGTTGTTTTTGCTGTATCCAAATGATTGTGAAAAAAAAGAGAAGAGTGCTATATTCAAATTAGAATAGGATCCCAAAATGAACACGAATAACTGTTGGCAATCATATGAAGTCAAGTGAGTGTCACAGTTAACCTGATAAACCCAGAATGAACATGAAAAATCTAGTGATATATGTAAATATATTGGAATGATGAATGCATATGCACATGTTAGTAGCTTTCTATTCAATGTTATTTCACAATGAGTAGCTTTCTCTTCTTCTCATTAATGAAATATCTACCGCCCTGTAATCCAAGATAAACTATCCCACATTTTCAGGTTAGAGAACTCTACTCAAACATAAGGTGGCATGATATTGAGAATAACCATCCTCTACATGTACTGATTAGTAAAATGGGACATATTGTTGACATAACTGATTAGTTCCGGGTACCTTGAATTTTTCTTGTATCCCTGTCATACATCCTCTTTAAGTGGCTGATAGACCCATTGTTCAATTTTATAAGAGGAGATGACAAGAAAATGTAGAAGATGTCCTAATTAGGAATGATGGGATGAACGATTGTGGTCAGCCCATGTTTGGGCAAGGGAAAGGCCTTTCGTTAGGTAAGAAGGATGGAGTAATGAGGAACAAAGGGAATGTAACAGAACTGACACGTGGTAGCACATGAGAGAAGGGAAATAAGTGTGAATTGTGTGTGGGAGGAGCGATAGGAAATGTGGAATGATTAGTTTAAGGACAGTTGTAACAGAATGGCAGTAAGCAGGATTCCACTGGGGACTGCTGTAATGTTGAGTTGAGGCCTCTCTGACACATGGCAGCGCAGGAGAAGAGGAAACTATGCTTGAAACTTGTGTGGGGAATCATTGGGGACTGCTGTAAAGTAGAGCTGAGGTCTCTCCATCTTGTGAAGCTTTCTTGCCATTGTTTGTTTCTATTTCCTTCTGCAAGGAGCTTGTCTCCATTTCCATTGCTATTTCACTAGTCTTAATACATCCACAACACTCTTTTTTATCAGAGTACTGACCCACCGTGTAATTCTGCCTATTGATGATATACCTGGTTCCTATCAGTGGTTTATTGTACAAGGTTACTGACTCCCTTTCCCATGCGTGCGTGCACACAGTCTACAGTCGACGCCACTTAAGATTATGTGTAATGATAGGGCCAAAGATAATTTAGATTGGACCTGGACCCAGTAGGAAACGGCCCAAAGATCTGGAAAATTTACACTCCAAGGAAAGGGGTGAGTGTCTGAGCTGGCAGATTGAGAATGCTAAGAAGAGGGTAGTTGCATGAAACATGAGTTACATGTCTCATTAGGCTAGGTGCTGGGAAATGGACACATATTTTGGAAATTAGTAAGTTGTTATGAATGGAGAAGCCTAGCCTATGATGTCTGGATACATAGCACGAGTGCGGGTGCGATACGGTTACTTGGAACTTTTGATATTTTGGATACGGTGCGGCCTAGATACATTGACAAAATTTATAGAAAAATATGTAGAATACTACTTAAAAAAAAGGCATTGATCATTCTTCATTGATGTATAACTATAATGGTCACAATTTTCATAATATATTTTAACCTCTATGTTTGGATGTCACAAAATCACTATTAAAAGAACTAAAATAAGTTTTGACTCTATGCAATTGTAAACAATTTATAAGCTTCTTTAATAATTTTTTTGTCTAATGCTAACTGATTCAGTCTCTTCTCCCCTATTGCCATCATCATAAAAAGCATGGCTTTTAAGTTTGGTTCATTTAGAGACAATTCTGCCAATTCAAGAAGTTCATTGATATATTGTATGTGTTTCCTCTGGTTTGTATCACATCATCCATTAGAATATAATTATGATGGAGTCATTATTGAATATGAGTGCCATCCCTATTGATTATTATATCAAAATACAAGTCTCTTCCAACAATTTTATGTGCTAACAAGTTTGAACTTGTGGTCTTAGGCTACTGCCTTATACAAATTAGTTGCGGAACGAGGTCCATGGAGCTCTTTGTCCAGATGGGCACTGGAAGCATACTTAAAAGGTGATGTTGGCAAGGCATATATGTTGTATTCAAGAATGGCCGAGATGGGCTATGAGGTGGCACAAAGTAATGCTGCTTGGATTCTTGATAAATATGGAGAACGAAGCATGTGCATGGGTGAATCTGGACTTTGCACTGATGCAGAAAGGCATCAGCGGGCATACTCTTTGTGGTGGCAAGCTTCTGAGCAGGGTAACGAACATGCTGCTTTACTAATTGGAGACGCATATTACTATGGCAGGGTATGTGATTTTGAAATGAATTAAGCATGTGTGTGCTTTGAACTTTCAATTTAAGACATGGTGCACTCTTTACCTATAACCTAACTTCATTTTGTTGTGTTTCTCTCTCTTTTATCTCAGGGAACTGTCAGGGATTATGACCGAGCTGCTGAGGCTTACATGCATGCCAAATCGCAATCTAATGCACAGGCCATGTTTAATCTTGGGTACATGCATGAGCATGGCCAAGGACTTCCCCTTGACCTTCATCTAGCCAAGCGTTACTATGATGAAGCTTTAGTGCATGATCCTGCAGCTAAGTTGCCAGTTACACTGGCACTTACAAGCCTGTGGGTTCGGATGAACCATGCTGACAGTATATTGGTGAGTTTCTTTGGCTTACCTGCTGCAATACTGCATGTGCACAGTAACAACCAGTAAGTGATAGTTGACTATGTTCAAATGTAATGATACTTTTCATGTTGCTGTCTTGGTTACCTGATGTAATTTTTGTTCATTTAGGTCGTAGGTGGAGATATGATATTCTGTCTCAATTGCTTAATGATCTATTTAAATGGCTAATCAAACACTTCACACTTCTGTAGCTTAACTTGTATTTTTGATATGTGAATGTGCCACATCATTTTCCCCAATGTAGGGGTCAGTAACTCGCATATTTGATGAGTTTTTAATAACGTGGTGTGAAGATACTGAAATAATTTCACTCTTAACACATCTCGGCCATTTCTATGAACGCTTGGACTGTTTGGCTTATTGAAAAATCCCACTTGGTGAAAGAAAATGAATTGTGGCCTTGCATGATTGTTGTCTTTAACCTGACTCGCCTTTAAAGTTGACTTCTTTTGTTGTGTTATTCTTTCTAAACAGTATTTCAGTTTTCACACTTCTATTCTAGTTCCTGATCGCAATGTGCTTATTTTTTTCAGGTCCAAATAATTGACTCTTTGCCAGATGTCTATCCAAAATTAGAAGCTTGGGTGGAGAATGTGCTTTTGGAGGAGGGAAATGCCACAATTCTAACCCTCTTTGCATGCCTCCTAACTGTGTTGTATCTGCGCGAAAGGCAAAGACAGCAAGCTGCTGTTGTAGTTGGCGAGGTCGCTCAGCCAAATCTCCCTAACGAGCTTGCTATGCCAGCACCCATGAGATAGAAACATGTTTATAACTTTAGGCCAAATTGTACCATAGAGAACTCACAGTGGTGGGAATAAGTGATTGTAGATATTCCTTATTTATTTTGTAAGGTAGGAACAAGGAACACGCTTCTACACACTTGATCACTTAACCCAAGAAATGAGAATTAAAGATGCATTCACTGTTGTGCTAGTTTTTCTTTATTTGGAAACAATAGGATTTGGTAATTTAAAATGTTATTTGGTATTTGATGGATCATAATATATATGCAATGAGTAACTTAAAGCGTTATTTGTGTTGAATTGAATATAGTTATTTTATATTTACACCAAAAAAAATGATTGTGTAAGAAAAAATATTGTACTGTACTTATTAAAAATATGTACCATTTATTAGCACTTTATTTGAAAGCGCTATCAAACATATGTTATATATTAGCGCTTTTTGTTTAGAGTGCTATAAAAAAACAAACAAAAAACATGCAAAATACTGACTTTGATAGCACTTTAATTAAAACGCTATTATAAATTGGTACTTTAATAGCGCTTTTAAATTGCTATTAAATAAGAAATATTTACAATAGTGGCGCGGTTAATAGCACTTTTAAGCGCTATCAAAACCAAAAAAAAAGCGCTATTAAATAGCTTATTTGGCGTAGTGACAATTACTAAGAATCATTATCTCTGATTTTGCAAAATTCATAGTAAAGTCTAGCTTCTTTAAAAGTTTAATAAGTGTGTGTTTGTGAATATAATATGTAGTGTGAAATAACATCACTTTAAAATAAATACAAACAATATGAAGATAAATAGATAAGACAGAACATATTAGTGTGTGTCTTTAAAATACTCAAATCTTTAAAAAAAAATCACTCATATTCTAATGAATCATGCAAATTGAATAATAAATAATAATTAAATAAAAAATAAATTTGAGTTATATATATTAAATAATTTATTCTATATATGATGAAACTCACATTTAATCAAGTTTTTATTCTAAGAAATGAAATAATAATAATACACAATATAGAGAATATAGTGATATGTTTGTTAGAAAAATGAGAATTGTTATTCAAACAAGTTTTATCTTAATATTTACATATACGAGAAGCAAAAATAAGAAGAAATATAAGATTATTTGATGCAAAAAGAAATAAATACTATTGTTATATTTATCATCTTCCTTAAGTTTCCCTTTGTGCAAAGTATAACAATGACATGATCAAATTAAAGATATGACATAAATCACCTTTATGCTGAAAGAGTGTCCTTTTTTTATGGTGTTTTTAATCATAATATATAGTACCAATTTCTATAATAAGTTTAGTTACTATAAATTTACTACTTGTAAGAGTTATAAGTAGTCATTTTCTCTAAAACATAACAAGCAGTCACTTTTATGACATCTAGTAAGTGTTGAATAAATTAAAATTGATAAATAAATATATTTGCTCAAAAACTGGGTAACATTAGTTAAAGGTTTTGTCTTTCTTTTTTAAACATTTCAATGTAAGAAATTAAAATTAAAAACTTGTGTAAATGCACGATTATAGAGTTCTGAGAAGTCGTCCATCCTGACATTGCTCAAGACCACTACTAATACAACTTTATATACAATATAATTCTTCAAAAAAAATATTTTTTAAAAAAATAAGATTTTTAAAATAAATTTTTAAAACTTAAATAACACATCATCTTGAATTCTATTCACCTAAGATGACACAATTACTAAGAGTCATTATCTCTGATTTGGCAAAATTCATAGTAAAGTCTAGCTTCTTTAATAGTTTGATAAGTGTGTGTCTGTGAATATAATATGTAGTGTGAAATAACATCACTTTAAAATATATACAAACAATATGAAGATAAATAGATAAGAGAAAACATATTAGTGTGTGTCTTTAAAATACTCAAATCTTTATAAAAAATCACTCATATTCTAATGAATCATGCAAATTGAATAATAAATAATAATTAAATAAAAAATAAATTTGAGTTATATATATTAAAAAATTTATTCAAAATATGATGAAAGTCACATTTAATCAAGTTTTTATTCTAAGAAACAAAATAATAATAATACATAATATAGAGAATATAGAGATATGTTTGTTAGAAAAATGAGAATTGTTATTCAAACAAGTTTTATCTTAATATTTACATATACGAGAAGCAAAAATAAGAAGAAATCTAAGATTATTTGATGCAAAAAGAAATAAATACTATTGTTATATTTATCATCTTCCTTAAGTTTCTCTTTGTGCAAAGTATAACAATGACATGATCAAATTAAAGATATGACATAAATCACCTTTATGCTGATAGAGTGTCCTTTTTTTATGGTGTTTTTCATCATAATATATAGTACCAATTTCTATAATAAGTTTAGTTACTATAATTTTACTACTTGTAAGAGTTATAAGTAGTCATTTTCTCTAGAACATAACAAGCAGTCACTTTTATGACATCTAGTAAGTGTTGAATAAATTAAAATTGATAAATAAATATATTTGCTCAAAAACTGGGTAACATTAGTTAAAGGTTTTGGCTTTCTTTTTTAAACATTTCAATGTAAGAAATTAAAATTAAAAACTCGTGTAAATGCACGATTATAGAATTCTGAGAAGTCGTCCATCCTGACATTGCTCAAGACCACTACTAATACAACTTTATATACAATATATTTCTTCAAAAAAAATATTTTAAAAAAAAATAAGATTTTTAAAATAAATTTTTAAAATTTAAATAACACATCATCTTGAATTCTATTCACCTAAGATGACACAATTACTAAGAGTCATTATCTCTGATTTTGCAAAATTCATAGTAAAGTCTAGCTTCTTTAATAGTTTGATAAGTGTGTGTCTGTGAATATAATATGTAGTGTGAAATAACATCACTTTAAAATATATACAAACAATATGAAGATAAATAGATAAGACAAAACATATTAGTGTGTGTCTTTAAAATACTCAAATCTTTATAAAAAAATCACTCATATTCTAATGAATCATGCAAATTGAATAATAAATAATAATTAAATAAAAAATAAATTTGAGTTATATATATTAAAAAATTTATTCAAAATATGATGAAACTCACATTTAATCAAGTTTTTATTCTAAGAAACAAAATAATAATAATACACAATATAGAGAATATAGAGATATGTTTGTTAGAAAAATGAGAATTGTTATTCAAACAAGTTTTATCTTAATATTTACATATACGAGAAGCAAAAATAAGAAGAAATCTAAGATTATTCGATGCAAAAAGAAATAAATACTATTGTTATATTTATCATCTTCCTTAAGTTTCTCTTTGTGCAAAGTATAACAATGACATGATCAAATTAAAGATATGACATAAATCACCTTTATGCTGAAAGAGTGTCCTTTTTTATGGTGTTTTTCATCATAATATATAGTACCAATTTCTATAATAAATTTAGTTACTATAATTTTACTAATTGTAATAGTTATAACTACTTAGTTTCTCTAGAACATAACAAGCAGTCACTTTTATGAAATCTTGTAAGTGTTGAATAAATTAAAATTGATAAATAAATATATTTGCTCAAAAATTGGGTAACATTAGTTAAAGGTTTTGGATTTATTTTTTAAACATTTCAATGTAAGAAATTAAAATTAAAAACTCGTGTAAATGCACGATTATAGAGTTCTGAGAAGTCGTCCATCCTGACATTGCTCAAGACAACTACTAATACAACTTTATATACAATATAATACTTCAAAAAAAATATTTTTTAAAAAAAAAAAATTTTTAAAATAAATTTTTAAAATTTAAATAACACATCATCTTGAATTCTATTCACCTAAGATGACACAATTACTAAGAGTCATTATCTCTGATTTTGCAAAATTCATAGTAAAGTCTAGCTTCTTTAAAAGTTCGATAAGTGTGTGTCTGTGAATATAATATGTAGTGTGAAATAACATCACTTTAAAATATATACAAACAATATGAAGATAAATAGATAAGACAGAACATATTAGTGTGTGTCTTTAAAATACTCAAATCTTTATAAAAAAATCACTCATATTCTAATGAATCATGCAAATTGAATAATAAATAATAATTAAATAAAAAATAAATTTGAGTTATATATATTAAAAAATTTATTCAAAATATGATGAAACTCACATTTAATCAAGTTTTTATTCTAAGAAACAAAATAATAATAATACACAATATAGAGAATATAGAGATATGTTTGTTAGAAAAATGAGAATTGTTATTCAAACAAGTTTTATCTTAATATTTACATATACGAGAAGCAAAAATAAGAAGAAATCTAAGATTATTCGATGCAAAAAGAAATAAATACTATTGTTATATTTATCATCTTCCTTAAGTTTCTCTTTGTGCAAAGTATAACAATGACATGATCAAATTAAAGATATGACATAAATCACCTTTATGCTGAAAGAGTGTCCTTTTTTATGGTGTTTTTCATCATAATATATAGTACCAATTTCTATAATAAATTTAGTTACTATAATTTTACTAATTGTAAGAGTTATAACTACTTAGTTTCTCTAGAACATAACAAGCAGTCACTTTTATGAAATCTTGTAAGTGTTGAATAAATTAAAATTGATAAATAAATATATTTGCTCAAAAACTGGGTAACATTAGTTAAAGGTTTTGGATTTATTTTTTAAACATTTCAATGTAAGAAATTAAAATTAAAAACTCGTGTAAATGCACGATTATAGAGTTCTGAGAAGTCGTCCATCCTGACATTGCTCAAGACAACTACTAATACAACTTTATATACAATATAATACTTCAAAAAAAATATTTTTTAAAAAAATAAAATTTTTAAAATAAATTTTTAAAATTTAAATAACACATCATCTTGAATTCTATTCACCTAAGATGACACAATTACTAAGAGTCATTATCTCTGATTTTGCAAAATTCATAGTAAAGTCTAGCTTCTTTAAAAGTTCGATAAGTGTGTGTCTGTGAATATAATATGTAGTGTGAAA